CCTCCTACTGCAGACTGGGAGACATATCTGATACTGCCTGATTTTGGAATGGAGTTGACCCACCGACTACCTGTAATTATCTCCTGTTCAGTTGAGTTGAAGTGAGCACTTATAAACAAATTGTGCCCTCTTCCTGCACACACACTTGTCTTGCCCTCCTCCTGCAACTGGTGTCAGTCCAAAAGTCTGATGGTAGAGTTGAGGTAAGACACACCAATGGCGTATATTCTTTGCACTTCTCCCAAAGCTGGTGTCGTTTCAAGAGTCTGATGGTAGAGTTGGGATTAACAGGCACTAATGATTCCTGTGCCCTTCTCCTGCAGTCGGTCCACTAAGTCTGAAAATGGAGTTGAGGTGAACACTAGGTATGGTCTGAATGTGCTCCAACCTTGCTACACATATTGGCTCTCGGATCTTTTGTGTGGAAGTTCTCAGACAGCCATGTTCTTATTCTGCCCATACCCATGACACATGGCTTGTTTGCCTCTTCCTCCCTTCTAATCTGGGTGATGCAGTCTCCTATGGGTATGCTCCCATGGAGTCCCTGCCATGAGGTGTCACACTCCATGGGTTTCCTTTAGGTTCCTTCTGAAGGGAGCTCATCTAGTTAACTTTTGCACCAGTCCCTCCACCACATCAATGTGGGATTCTAGCTTTCTGTGTGAAGAGGTGTGTATTGCCTCAAAAATTAACATTTTCCTTATATGATAATGTATTTGCAATAGATACCCACCTCTTCACACCCTTCCTCCCCACTTTTGGTGCAACTTAGTATTCTATGACAGACTTCATCCTTTTTTTTTGAAAGGCAGGAGAGGAAATTCACTGTGGCAATTGCTGCTGTATTTTTCAAAATGGCTGTGGTGTCCTGAGAAAATCATTAAATTCCACAGCCACGATGGTCACCCTTCGGTATCCCTTTGGTTGTCATGCCCTCATGATCTAAATTTGTATTGTATACTGCAGTAAAGGGAAAAACCATTGGGGATCACAAACACAGGACTTAAAACCTGTGGAAACTACCTTGTTATGAATAGTATATTGCATAAAATGCATGTAGTGCAGGGAGTGAAGTTTTTGCTCTGATCAGCAGTAAAACATTTGTGAGTTTGTTGAGTCATACCATACTGCAAACTCTTAGTAGTAGCAAACAATTAAAATCGGGGCTCAAACAACAAACCCACAGAACTTATACAAAGATTCACAGCGACAGCAGTACACGATGATCAAAGTCAAGTATATAGAAATGCTGGTCAGCGTGAAGTGTGCAACTGAAAATACTCCTTGCATTAAACATGCTGAAAAAGGAACAAGTTAAGAGAGAGAATGCTGGGAAAATTATTTCTGTGCCAGAAATTAGAACATTTTTTTCCTCAGTAAATATGTAGATTACATCCTGATTTTTTAGAAAGTGAAGGGAAATAGGATATGTAAATAATTTGACTCTATAAATTTAATGTATAAACCCACCAAAGGCTTAGGCCTACTACATTAGCTAGTTATGGTTAACGTTATTGAATTACAAGTAGCGAGTTATGCAATGCAGTATGTGATGATGTGTGATTTATAGGTTATGAAATTGTGCTATACTGTGTTTAGTTTACTGTTTATTGACACTAGCCTACATTAGAAATTATGCAAAAAAATACTAGTAGTAGCATTGTTTGGAAATAGAATGTTGACCTAATGTCATGGCAATGCGTCTTTTTATCTATCTGTCTGTCCATTAATATTTTCAAAGGACTTCTGTTTGGAGACCTTATAACTGATTTTTGTTGGTCAAGTAGTCATATATGTTTGGGTTGAATTTTGTTGGTATAAATTAGGCCTTTAAACTTCTCTTCCTCCCAAGGATTTTATCTGATCATTCTCAAAGTTAGTTAAAGTAATAAATGGATAGAGGGGCATAAAAGTTGTATACAATTCTTAGGTCAAAGGTCATTTGGAGTCATGAGGGAACAAAAGCTAGAAATCTTATAAATAACTTTTTCTCTTTTTGTGAAAGTCTGATACATATCAGAGTTGGATAAATTAGTAAGTGGATAGAGATGCCTAAAAATTTGTTCATGATTTGTCCTGGAAATCTTTAAAATGCTTCTCCTCCCAGGGATTTTGTTTCATCCTTCTTAAAGATAGACAAATTAATGAGTGGAGAGAGGTGCCTAAAAGTTGTATACAATTTTCAGGTCAAACATCATTTGGAGTCAGGAGGGTGAAAAGCGAGGAATCTTATTAAGGTCATAGGACATTTTAGATCAGCATTTACCTCTTTTTTAATTTTAAAGGTGTTGTACTGTTACTTCATAAGTCTTATTGGTTAAAGTTAATACTTACCTACCCGAAAAAAATAATCTGGAAGAATAGGCCCGCTTCCCAAGCTCCCAATGAAAAAATTAACACCATATTTACTAAACTAATTGGGAAACTCATTTCTATTCCATTAACATTAATGTGTGCTGTGGCCTTCATGCCTTCCAGTGATTTTTTTTTTGCCTTGGTGCTTTTGAAAGTGAGAGCAAATCCAAGGCCAAATGGCTTTGTCATAAAAATTTTGAATTTCCTTGCATGGGTTGAGGGCTTTTGCTGCATAATAATGTCATCATGCAGTAGTGCAAATCATGATAAATCCTGTGAGTTTAGGTGAGATTTGGTTGCATGCAAATCTTTAAGACATACACATGGGGAAGATAGCATGGAAGTGAGTTTCTATCAGAAATACATATTCAGGTAAGGAAATTGTTAATTTTCCAATTTTATTACTGTATGAGTAAGCTGTTGTCATTTAGTTGGTTTTTAATCATATAGCATAATACACATTTGTCCCACATATGCTAAAACTAATGCCCTCACAGTGGTTGCCTTTCTTCAAGTTGTCTGCTTTAGCCCTGTCCCAGTATGTTTTCTCTAAGTACTAAGTTTTCTCCAAGATTTTTGGTTGTTTGTAATTGTTTATTGTGAGCTTGTGATAGAAAAGCCCAAGTTGGCTATGATTGTCCATCATTTCTGTAAGGTAGTCTTGGTTACAGTCTTGTGATTGTTTTTTTCCACTTTCATCTGTTATTCACTGTCCTTGAAAAGACTTGAATTTTGTTCTTGGTCAAATGTATGATTCCTAGTCTTGTGTACATTAACATACTAGTTTTCTTAGAAGTAATTCTACTGTACATTTTAAAGTACATACACAAATCTGTATGTTGTTGTACTCAAGAATCATGTGGTTGCTGCAGAAAATGAAAGGAGGCTAAAGATAGTGACAACTCAGTTGATAGATAATCAAAATTAGAATTAGAAGAGGGCTTGAAGGCAAGGTAGATTCAAATTTGAGCTACGTCTTACTGTCAGCAAGTCTGGTAGTGAATATACAGTACTCTGATTGGTATTCAGTTTCTCTCTTGACAACAAGAAGTTTGCATGAAGTAGAGGGGTACTTAAATACTGTGGATTTCACTAACTCTACTATATGGAAAAGAACTAGCTCTTTGTATTATAAATGTAAACGTAAATATTTAACTGATGTATTGTTTCAGATTGTTAACAAATTCCAAGTGCAAAGTATGTTGAAAGTTTAAAATTCTGAGATTTGTATTTTTACGTGTTTTGGAAAATGCTTCAACTTTTTGTATAAATATTTTATTACCAGTTGTAAATGATAACAAATCTAACTAATTGTTTATGCTCTTGATATTCTCACATCAAAATGAAACTGAAACAGAGTTAGCTTCTGCATCCATGTTTTGTTGAAATTCACTGCATATCATCTTCTGAACTTGGACTTTCAAATGTCTCATTTATTTCACATACACTTGAATTGTTTTGAACTTAAATTGATTAGAAGTAAATCAAACATTTTGAGAGAAAAATAGTCTTTCAATAGCACATCTAAATTTTATTTTGTATTAAGGTATTTTATAACATACTAAACAGGCTTATGCCATATATGAAGGTGATTCAGGCATAGGAATGTAACAATAGTTCCTTGAAACTTGCATCTTAGAATGAATGAATTATTTATTATTTCAAAATCCAATAAACTGGCAGAGCTGATGTTCACTGAAAAATCCTTTGTATCTTTATAATTATATGACTTATAAAATGAACAGTAGAGTGGAAAATTGTTTTTTGAGATACTGAACTCTTTCAATAAATCTGTCAAAGTTATAGGTTTATATAATATTTTATATGTAATTTTAGACATTTTGGTACTTTATAGATACACAGCTACATTTCTTTTGTTAGTTTTGTACCATATGTAAGACAATAATAAAGGCTGGCTCCCAAATGCAAAGGACTACCTCAGTTAAACAATAGTTTTGTCAGTCTTATCTTTTGATTGTCTACACATAGTCACATTTTACTTCATTTATGATGGAGACATGTTTTAATTTTTAAAGAAAATTTTTATTTTGTTATAAAAACCATGATTAATTTTTATTTTTCGTGTGACAGGTTTAACGTTTCCAAATATTGACTTTGGAAACATTCACATACCACCTGTGGGACAAAATCAAAGAACACTAGGTAATGTTCAAACATTTTATTCTGTGATTAGATTTTAACATTTTACTGAAAAGTATTGTAAATAAAGTAGAAAACCATGTGTAAATAAATAATCTTTCTTTAAACGAATTTGTTAAAAATGCCCTGTGGTAATTATTGTAATTATGAACTAATTGAACAACAAATTTAAATTCATTTTTAGGCTCAGTTGATATTAGCATTTTACATGTTTCTCCATAGGAATAACTGAATGATAAATTTTTCTATTAGCATGGGGTCTTAAGTAGTAATAGAAATAACTACGTAATGATCCTTTTTATTGGTTTGGTCAGTACTAAGCATTAACAGAAATAACTAGGTAAAAATTCTTCCTGTTGGTGTGGCAGGTCTTAAGCAATGACAGAAATAACTAGGTAATATTTATGAGGTTGTTGAGTCCATTTTAACTCACCATATAGTAACCTAAATTAATTTAGGTGTGTTAATAATATTATGGCATCTTGCATAATTTATTATTCAATATTATACAGCAGACCAGCTATTTAATGATTATATTACAGATTTATTTGCACCAAAAGTAAAGTTGAAAATAGAATCTGTGACATAGAGGTCTAATGCAATCAATGCTGACTTGTGCTGTCCTGATGAGCTTTTAATAGATGAAACTGCAGTCCGTAGCAGAGGACACAACAAATTAAAGAATGCATTAGGTCTGTACATCACAGATTCTATTTTTAATTTTGCCTTTAGTGAAAAGAAAATAAATCTTCAATATAATCATGAACTAGGTAAAAATTCTTCCTGTTGGTTTGACAAGTCCTAAGCAATGACAGAAATAACTAGGTAATAATTCTTCCTGTTGGTGTGGCAGGTCTTAAGCATTAACAGCATTAACTAGGATAAAAATTATTCCTGTTGGTGTGGCAGGTCTTAAGCAATGACAGAAATAACTAGGTAAAAATTATTCCTGTTGGTGTGGCAGGTCTTAAGCAATAACTAGGATAAAAATTCTTCCTGTTGGTTTGATAGGTACTAATTAATCAATTGTAAATGAAATAACAACAAACTGTGAATAATGTTTCTTTGACAACCATGATAAAAGTGTCATACGATCAGATTCTGACTATGAGTTGTGTTAAAGAAAAATATTTTTAATGGAATTTTTTAAGGAACCAGTAAAAATAATTTTTGAGCCTACTCTAAATAATGACAAAAATAGCTAGGTAATAATTCTTCTTGTTGCTGTAGAGTTGGGTAATTAGTGGAACTAGCTAACTGATTAATCATTAGACTCATTACTGAGTTACATTCTAATCATTAGACTCATTACTGAGTTACATTCTAATCATTAGACTCATTACTGAGTTACATTCTAATCATTAGACTCATTACTGAGTTACATTCTAATCATTAGACTCATTATTGAGTTACATTCTAATCATTTATTCTCATATGAAGTTAAACTTCTTATTTTTAGTTTGTTTTGGGATTTTTTAAGACATTATCAGAGTACTGTTCTTTAACTATTATAAACATCTTCAGATACAACAATTTAGGATTAAGTTACTCAATGTAGTATGAAACGTGTAACAAGTAACACGTGTAACATGTGATCAATACATTCTGTAGATATTTCCCTATATATTTTCACAGGACTATTAAAACTGATGAGTATTTGTTGATGAAAATAAATATTATTTCATGGTTGAGCTGTTTGAGATTGTTAAGAGAATTGATAGTGTTGATGCATCATTTTTTTCATATTTAACTCTTTTGTTACTCACTTAGTGGATTAACACTGATCTTGTGACCATCAAACTTTCCATACTATACCTTTTAACATATTTTATGTATCTTCATGAAATTTTTCAAGCTTTTAGTAAATAGTACAAATCTTTTGTAGGCAAAGTGATTTTCAATTTAAGGTGAAAAATACTTTTCTTCATTTGAAAATTATCAAATTTCATTTGTGTAATGTCTAAAACCTCATAAATAATTATCAAAAGTTTTTTTCACTAAAACTTTATATTTTATCTGTGATTTTCTCTACCCTATCTCTATATGTATTCGGTCAAATTGACTGAACTCATAACCACTACAAGCAAAAAATGTGAAATAAGTGAGTAGTACTGTTCTATTCTTTTTACTGTTGACTATGAAATTCCAAAGTACGTCTCCTGAGAGTTTCTACTTCAAACGTTTTAATTTATGTTTCCTTTGTTTATTTTACTGTTAGCAGCTGAAGTAGAAACCTGCTGAGCATAAAGCAATGAATCACTGCTTCTGTTAGTAGACTGTTTATGTGACACTGTAGTACCAAATAAATACTTGTAGCACAATTATTACTAGAACTTTCACACAGAGTTTATCATAATCTTGGTTCCAAGAACACATTGGGAGAGGATTTATCATCTTGTTTACAATATAGTGGTTGCAACAACAATTGTTTAAAGTAACAAAGTGCCAGCAAATGTTTATGATATGGCCTTGTGCAAAGTCCAGGCCAATCCAATAAACTTAGTAGGTTCTTGGATGTTAATTATCTTCCCAGGATGATTGGAATTTAGAGGTATAGGTCTACAAGGTGTATAAGAGCTTATGAACATGTGTATATATTAAATACTTAATTTTTAGTTATTTCTCTTAAAAAATAGAAAAATAATTCAAAGAAATATATAAAAAGACAATGATTTCTACTACTTACAATGTTATGAGATTGATTTGTACTTGTGCTTTATGCTTGCAAAGCCTTGTTGTCTTGTTTATGTTTTCAAGTAGAAGGGGGAGATGCATTAATTTTTGTAGATTTCAAAGATGCCTTTTACAAAACCAAAAAATTATTATACTGGTACACATAAAACCACTATAATTTATCTGTCTTTTTAACTAATCTATATGTGTGTTAAAAATATATCTTGTCTCTATTCAGAGCAACGGCTTAATCAACAGACTTCCCCAATTTTCAGAGAAATTATAAGTTTCCCCTTCAAGCCAATTACAAATTACTGTCAGATTTTTGTAGCTTGGAACGATCTCTTTCTATTGGTTATAAACATGTACTGAAGAGAAGTAGGTGTGAATACACGAGAAATTTCTATAGGATCGAATAAAGGCTGGGCTACCATCATAGGTTTGCAAAACATGTTGATATATCTTAACAAATCAAAAAGATGGGTGGTTCTTAATTTATATTCGAGCTTGTAAATGTCTGAAGTTTGAGTTTCTAATTTGTTAACCATTGTATGATAGGCATAATAAAATATAAACTGAGTAATAAGACAAGAAGACATGCCATATGACACCCAAAAAAGTATACTTGGCATTTTTTTAATACTTTCTTTTTAATTAAAGCATATATGATATTCTGATATGGTATATTACTTCCTCTCATATAAATATCTATTCTCGTTCAGTGCTGCCCTTAATATGCAAAATTTTTTTTGCATGCCACAAGCCTTCAGCTCCAATGTACCCTATGATCAATGTGGTTCAACTGCACTTCGCATGCAAATATTTCATCATGCGACAACCCTCCACCAATAGGAGTGTGACACACTTTCCTGATGTATGTGACTCCCTCTATTTGATTCTACCGAACTGTCACTTCTCGTTTGGCATTGCTATCCTCAAGAGGTTTTTTTGTTTGTGCTCTCTTCCTGTGTTTTTTCTTTGATATTTCATACAATGGGGAGATATTTTCTATCTTTTTCATCGAAGCTTATTTTTCCACTTTGAAAATATTATTATTTACTTCCAGCACAATTACCTAGGCTTCAGGTGGTGGTACTCGACTGAGAAATTGTCAGCTTTAATACATTGGTAGATTGATCATTATATGAGCTGACCTTTGTTGGGCCTCAAGTTTGGTGACACACACATTTGAGTCCACCATCTTTGGACAGATAAGCTGTTATATTGTTTTAGTTTTTTGAATATTTTTATGTTAATATTATTATTTGTAGTTCTTTAGTTTAAGTAACATACATTTAATTAGACTTGTACCTTCTTCTTGTAAAGTTAGTGTTTTTAATTAATGTTTAATGACACCTTTTTGTACTACAATGTTAGTTTAGGCTTAACATATGTTTTTGTAATTTTAGGGTTACTTGCCATTGCTCTCACTGGTAAATTGTAAATTTGTTTCTTCAACTAAATTTTTATGTCAATATACACTTACTTTAATTTTACAATATAATGACTTTTTCATTTTCATAATTAATTATATTTTATACTTCTTACAATTAATTTTGTTTTTGAGGACTCTGGGTCCGGAGTCTGCCCAACCTTCTCCCACTATTGCTTGCCTTCCTCCTTGAACTGACAAACTCATTCGGGATGATGTCTATTTTAACAATTTTTCTCTACCTGATTATGAATTGGCCTTACTAGGCTTCTACTGTGGAGTCTGCTAGGCCTACCTCAGCCCTTTTTATACGTTTCACAGTTATTCAGATATTATATTTTGGTTCATGTTGGGCCTTTTTTGTCTGTCATTTGAGAGATGATGCTGGCATGCCTTACCCTCATGGGCTTTGGTTCATTTTGCCTTAGCTTACCATCAGCCAGATTTTTTTGTGTGTGTTTTCTTGCTTCTCTGCACTTCAAATTTCTGTTGCCTGTATGGTTTGCAGAATTTGTTAATCCTATCCCTTTCTCGCTAGCCAAGTTCTCCAACCTTCTTCTTTCCTATTTCCTCTCCTACTGGTATTGACTGCCATACACCTCTTTTCCTGAGGCTTTCCACCTTTTCTTTGGGATTTTTCATGAGATACCTTCCTTCTTCTTAACTCTGAGTTGGGGCAATTGCCATCTTTGCCACTTTCCCTACACACATGCTTTTTTGCTTTTAAAATCTTCTAGGGTGGGACACTGTATTGTACCAAGTTTATTTCCCTTCCACTTCTAATTAGGACTTACGGATTGCTCATTTCCTCCACCAGTCTGTTTTTTTTGTTTTGTTTTTTAGGATTTTACTCCTGTGACTTTGGCATAATATGGGGTATCTGTATTGCTAAATTCAG